AACAGGCAACCAAGGAGAGCTGAAGATGCCCCAATTCCCTTTCCCATGAGAGAGAATATCCTCATTACTCTCCAGAATCTCCTGTGACCTGTTTCTTGGCCCTAAATAATTTGCTATCCCCTCCTCCAATTTCTTCTTGGAGACTATTTTCCCAAACAACTTTGAGTGGGAATGTGCAGGCTCCCTGCCTGGGGTCAGGGTGCCAGGGGAATATCTGTGCTGTGGGATGAGTGACAGTGGCAGGGCTGGCACCCCTCCTTGGTGGCCCACTGGCATCACCCAGGAGCTGCCCTGAGGCAAGTGTGCTCCAACACCCTTGTCTCCAAAGAGCTGCAGGAAAGAAACAAGGAAGAGGTAGGAGGTTCCACAGTGCAATCCGCTCAGCCACAGGAAAGAATGCACTGTGAAAGCGCTTTTCTTCCCCAGAAGATTTGGCTGTAACTCCCTGGGGAAACTGATCCTGTAACCGCCTTGCTTTCTCAGATGTTAGTGTCAGTTTTATGAGAACATGTTCCACTGAACTGCTCTTCTAGCTGTGACATACCCAGGGTGACTCTCCTGGCTGCCTGGAGTGCTGAAGGTGAGAAGGGTTTCCCCATTGTCTGTGGGAACATGAGGGAGCAGGAGAGCTGAGTCAGGAAGAACCAATGACTTTATTCTGGAACATGTTGACATCAGCCCAGCGCCCAAATGGCAACAAATCTTTTAATTCAAAAGCCAATAGTTGTCTGGCTATAAATACCCAGAATGCCCTTAAAATTAATCAAAAGCTCTCTAACTGAATGGTTAATGTGAGACAACTTGCTCAAAAGACACAAATTAACTTTTAATGTACTATACTATCAGTTTGGGGTTCTTTCTTATTTTCTTGGAATGTTTAAGTCTGGAGAGAAATATGGTCACATCCTTTATAAAGGTTATTTGCATTTATAGCATCACATATCACCAGATTATGTTTTCAAAAATATATATAAATTTTTAACCAACAATGCTTAGCTTGCACTTGTAAAAATACCTGCTCCACACGTCTTTTCAAAGCTTGTGTTAAATACATTTGCCAGGAGAAGTGTTACCTCTTCCAAAAATTAATTCAAATACGTGGCTTCAACAATGAAGCCAGTTCACACTTCTGACATGTCACCTAAATTTCCTCTTGGGGAAACACTCTGAATATGGCACTGGAGACAGAGCCTCTCACACACAACAGTTGGTAGGCATAGACAGAGAGAGAAGCATGATCACAGAAAGACAAATCTGTTCTAATGGGGAGCTGCAGTTCCTCAAACCTTCTAGCAGAAGGTCACTTTTCAGCATAGGCCAGAGACATGCCAGGATGTCCACAGGGCTCCAGCTCCTGGCACAGAAATATCCTGGTCTCCTGCCTGTCCCATGTTTTGTCTGCCAGCTCTACGGAAATGTTTCAGGCCATCAGCAATAGTGTACAGCACTGAAGAATTGTATGTTTAGGTAACTACATCTGGTTAGATGGAACACTGGTTAGAACTGCTTAAGTGTTGCTTCACACCCAGTGCCTTTCCTGCTGGCCATTTCAACAGAGAATAGACCTAGACGGTTGTTTAGAGCAGTGTGGGGTCATCAAACACTTTGGGAATAGAGATTCAATCCACCAAAAGAAAAAAAGAAAAAAAAAAAAAGAAAAAAACAAGAAGACAACTTGACATCAAAAGTTTAAAAAAAACAGGTTTACTCAAAACTCTCTACCCATCATTTTAAAAATGAATAAAATATAGCTGCACACTTCAGATCAAGTATTTAATTTCATTTCCAAGAAGCTCTTAAGTATGTTTGTCAGGGAGCCAATTTTAAGGACAGTTTAATCTTCTGCTTAAAAGAGAACTGGAAAAGTTAAAAATGGGAGTAGGATTCCACACTTTGCCTTTATGGACTTTGAAGAAAAATCAAGCCAGGTTCTATGAATTTAAAGCTAACAGACCTTTGGGTATCCCCCACTCTGAGAATCACAAGTTTCGCCTTTGCCATCACTTAGCCAAGTTTCACACAAGGCTGGAATAATTTGGAACCCAATTCAGCAAAACTCAAACTTTCAGTTAAGAATATGTCTGTAAAGCATTTTTTTTAGTAAGTCTAAAACAGGTGTCTTTCATCATGTGGGACATTTTAAAAAGCTTAATACTACTTTCAGGTGTGGCTTCTTATGGAAGTGAGAGGCAAGCTGTGCATCCTATCACACGTTACTGTCTCTCAGCCTCAGTGCTGAATCTCTTTTTATGTGTAAATGCTTACTTAGCTCAAGCAACCATAAGCAACTGCCTGTTAACTTAAATGTTAATTTTAAACCACCAGAAGTTTTGCTGGGAGCAAATGCAGGAAGGAAGCAAGTCTGTATATAGTTATTTATACCTTTGCTCTATTCAAAATGCAAATACCAGTGAAATGGCCTCCTACTTTTCTTACTTATCCCTTATTCCTTTATCCTGATCATTTAAACTTTTATTTTATTTTTGTATTTTTCTGGTAGAAGTAGCATCCTTTCATTAATGTTACATGATCTGAAACCTCTGTCTCATCTATGAGCAGATAATCTCTGTCTCATCTGTGAGTAAATAATAAACTTTTCTTGATAAAAATACCCTTCTGCAAATGACTCTGGATATGATCTACAGCTCATGTGAATTATATTCATAAGATATGGAGACCCACAGAAGATACGAACACTGACTGCTATATGGGGAATATATCATGTGCTGCAATGAAAGAAAGATTATTGATAGCTTAAGAAGGGCACAGAAAGCTTGACTGAGGGAGTGTGTGGAACTGAATGAGATTGCCAATCCTGGTATATTTCTGCTCCACTAGGAGGCTGAGGTGATCAATCTAATTATCAAAAACCTCTTTCCCAGAAATAGAATATAAGTGCTCTGGTTCAGAGGGAGCAGAATGTGGTAGGCTCAGGAAGTATTTGTGGAGCCAACTATTTTATCTGCAGCAGTATTTCCCTTGAGCAGCAACTCTCATTTCTGTGAGAGCCCCTGGTTCAATACCCTTGGGTCTGCCAGGATTCTGAGTGGAATGAAACCAATGTTTCATGAAGCCAGATAAAGTGCACCCCAGAAGGGGACTCAAACTCACTTCTTAGCAATGATTCCACAAAGGTTGCAGGTTGACAGAAATTTATCAGCTCACAAGAAACATTTTATCATTTCCTTTCCATTTGGCTCTACCCTTAACAACCATGGGGGATAGTCCTTAGAGTGACACATCACAGATAACAGAAACAGCAGCAAAAACCACTTCTGTGGCATTTTAATCTTGCTCAGCTCTGGCCCCTGCAGCCAGGCCAACCATGAACACAAGCAGCTCCAGAGCTTTTTCTACCCAGGAACTGCCTTCCCAATACCCAGATCTTACCTGCACACCTTCCTTCCCTCCTTTGCCTCGTTCAACACCCAAACACAGAGACAAGATGTACACTGGCTACCCACTTGCCAAGGGGGCTCCAGTCTGCACATGGGTGCAGAGTCAGGTACAGAGCAGATTTTAAAAGTAACAAATAAAACCAAAAGCTGGTCCCTAAGGATCATTTCAGCCCTAGAACCCAGGAGAAGTAAGTCTACTGGAATAGCCTGTATTCCATAGCACAGAGAAGAAATATTGGAGATCCTACATAAGAGGGTCCACATTGCAAGTGTCCCTTGTAAGGTATTACACTCTTCATTTCATCCTGAAGTCTGTTTCAGCAGTTGGTGACCACTATTCCCGCCATTCCCAAACTCACACTTCTAGCCAAATAAATGGAACATTTGCAAGTTGGCCAAAGTCCTAGGGTTCTAGCCAGTGTTCTCTCATCCCCAAAAAGTTCTTTGCACTTTTGTTAAACAGTAGCATTACTTACACAAAATACACTTTGACAGGGATTGTTTATTGAGGAGATAAAGCATCAGAAGAAAAGCAGTGTTTATTGTCATAAGCACATTGCAAGACCAAGGGTTTGGAAAGGAAGTTGCTTCTCTATTTACATGGACTGGATGCACAGAAAGAATGCAAACCATAAAGGTATTGGTGAACATCAGAGAAATCAGAGCCTCAAGCCAACTTTCCAGCTGATGTGAAACAGTGCAGCCTCACTGTCTTCAATGAAGATAAGCTTTATGCTACTGAAACACAATTGCTTTCTGGAGAAGGAATTATGATTCCACATGCAGAGATAAAAGGGAGCTGCCAGCGAAATCCTTGGAAAGACAAATAGTTTGCTGCCAAGCTGGTATGGACTGGTGCAGCTGCACTGGCTTCAGACATGCAGCAAGGTGCTACATGATTTGGCTTAGAAACCAGAGCGAGGAAAAAAAGAATGGTCTTATCTGCCTATTGCTCCAAATAGCTGGTGTTAAGCAAGTTCTGCCCAACACTGATTATCAGCATGGCCACTGAGCCCCAGCTCTTTGAGTAGTATGTTTTCTGTACATGTGGGCTGAGCCCTAGCCAGCAAATAGCTCTAGTCGTGCCATACAGATTCCTGCTCTGAGGTGGAGGGATCTGCAACAGCCAAGCACAGAAAGCAAGACACCTGAGGTTTGAGCCAGCTCTGGACAATACGAGCTCCAAGAACAGACAGACTTGCTTTCTAGTCTTCCCCTCCTGCTCCCCCACGGTGCAGCAAGGGGAGGGCCGCAGCTTTGCCAGGTCTGTTACTCTTCCACCCTGCTGTGTACCCTTCCCTTCGGCCAGAGGCAGCACGGTCACCAGGCTGTCGGGACGGAGAAGCGGAGCAGACTTGCAGCAAGGACAGCTCCGCACAGAGAAAGCGGGAGCTCCGGCTGCCCGGGAGCAGCGGCCGGGCCCAGGGGGTGGGGGCTGCTCTCGAGCCCTGACGTAAAAACTAAGCGGGGCTGCCGACTTTTAAGGAGCGCGGCGGCGGCAGCGGGCTCGGAGAGCCCTGCCCTGGCCGGAGCGCCGAGGTAAGCGCTGAGAGCCGCGGGCGGTGCCGGGGCGGGGCGGCGCCGGACGGGAGCGGGCGGGAGCGGGCGGGAGCGGCGGCGGCGGCGGGCGCTGCCCGGAGCCTCGGGAGCCGCGCGGGACTGCCCGGGGAGGCTGCACCGAGCGCGCACCCGGCCCGGGACCGGCTGCGGCGGCTGCACGGCCGAGGGACTAGCATAACGAGAGCTCAAAGTTAGATGATAATAACAGATTAACTGATTAACTTTTAAATTACTACTGTAAGGCATTATCCATGCCAGGGAATGGAGCAGGAGACTACACTGCAAGGAGATACAGGGATAGGGGGAGGGTGGGAAAAGTCAGAACCAGGAAGTGTGAATAGCACTCACACACACACAAACTTCAATGGATGCACAGAAATACCAAGAGACTGGAGGGTGTAGGGGAAGAATTGCACGGAAGCATTCACTACATGCACAGGTAAGAAATTAATGAAATCTGGCATTTCCTAGGCATCCCGTCCAGCTCTCAACTATCTAAAAAAATACAATTTTGATGCCTGTGGGAGACTAACAGCACAATGCTGCTTGAGTTTGACCAGACCATGAGGACTAGTGGCCTTTGCTACTGGCCCTTACTAATGGCATGCACATCACACTTTCAAGGGCACTGATTCTCATATTAATGCCCTACCAACTCCTTGCCCAGGGCTGTCCCCTTGTTTTGACAAATCAAGAACCCTTGTCTTAGCCAGTTTTGTAACTTATAAAGTTTAGAATAGGTGCTGGGGAGCAGAAAATGCAAAGCAACCAGTTCAGTTTTTAGCCTGTACAAATGAGACGGGTTCTGTCAAAATCACAGAAACATAATTTAAAGGATTTTAGTATTATTAGCTTCTTTTAGTATTATTCATTTGTTTGAACAATTTATTGTTTTTGGGGCTCCCCACCCACTGTCCTGTGTCTGTCTCCTCACCCTCATGGTCATATTAGAGACTGCTAAATTGCTTTGAAAACCAGAAACTTCATAAAGTTAACTATGTCCCTTGAAAAAGTCTCAGTAAACAGACATATGTGCATACTGGGCACACAGGTGTCTGTGCCCAGTGCAAGGGCTCTGATGCACAAACAAGAATGAAGTAGTGACTCACAGGATGTTTTTGGCTTGCTTCTGAGAAAGCAATCAAAGCCTGCCTTGTGGAGTAGGGTACAGAAGAATGATGTTTCTTGGGGATCTTGGAAGCAGCAGGAGGACAGCCCTATTACTACAACCATTGTCATAAGTGACATCCACTAGGCAGTGAAGTGTGGGAAGAGCAAGCTGTCCCTCTTTTGTTCCTTAAATGCAATGTTCAGGTCCAGGGCTGTCAAGCCAGCTCTTCTCACAACACCCAAACTCTGATTAAAAAGTGACTGTTAGCAGCTGTGGAATAAAGTCTGAATACCTCAAAAATGTTCCCAGAACCTGACCAGGTAGCCAGAAGGGGGCTAGGTAAGAATAACATTTCTAGGACTGAAATCCTAGGAGAGTCCTTTAGCTCTATAAGGAAATATATTCCACAAAGCAGACTACTCTTCCCCAGTCTCACACACACACTGTGGCTGGGCTACTTTTCATATACCGTCTCTCTGCACATCAATATCCTGCCTTTGGCATTTTTCTTCACATAGCAAAGGAGCACTTCTTCAGGATCATTCACAGAAGAGACTTTCTACACAAAAAGCCAGTTGCTTATCTAGCTCATTAACAGAGGTATCTTCCCACCCCCAACAACCAAACTGAAAACACAGGAGCATGAATACTCAGCAGATCAGCACATGCATTAAACAGAATTTTGTCCTAAATGCTGATCTCAGATGTAGCTGATTTCCGCAAATGGGAAATCCATTCTCCATATGCCATGAGCAACACTCAACAACCCCTCAAACTTGTTCAGTATCAGAAATGCTAGAAGCTTGTTACAAAATATAACAGAGATGTACCAGAAATGAAATCTGATGAAGACAACTGGGCCTTTCTGTCTATAAAACAATCAGTCATTCTCAGAATTTCTACCTATCCATTATTGATACTGCTTAGCAAGTGTCACAGTTTTAACAGTTAATTCTCAGTGATCTGCAATACACATCTGTACTTTTAAATATACACAAATACATCTCAGCACAGGAAAGACACGGACCTGTTAGAGCAAGTCCAGAGAAGAGCCATGAAAATGATGAGGAGAGTGAAGCAGATCTCCTGAAAAGACAGACTGAGAAAGTTGGGGCTGGAGAAGAGCAGGCTTCAGGGAGACCTTGTTGCAGCCTTCCAGTACTTAAAGAGGGCTTATAAGAAAGATGGGGACAGGCTTTTTAGCAGCCTGTTACAAGAGGACCAAGAGTGATGGCTTCAAACTGAAGGAGGACCAATTTAGATTAGATATAAAGAAAAAAATCTTCTACAATGAGGGTGGTGAGACACTGGAACAGGCCGTTCAGAGAGGTGGAAATGCCCTATCCCTGAAAACAGTTCAAAGTCATGTTGGACAGGACTCTGGGCAATCTGACGTGGTTGAAGATGTCCCTGCCAATGGCAGAAGGGTTGGACTAGAGACCTTTAAAGGTCCCTTGTAACCTGAACTGTTCCATGATTCTATATGCATGGGTACATATTGTACAATACAGCTGCTACGTGATGGTTTTGCTATACTCTCTTTTCAGAACTGTTCTGCCCTTTAGCACCTAAACCAGTCATGGTCAATGGATGAATCTGAAACCTGCAATAACTAGAACCATTAAAACACATTTTCAACAACATTTTTCCACCTGCTGTCCACTGATCCTTGTGATTCTGAAGACTACTTTAAAGGGCTCATAAAATTTTGAGAAAAGCAAAACTGCCTAAAAGCTTAAATTATGTAAAAAGGAATTGATGTTTACCGAAAAATATTTGGGATCTGTAAAGCAAAAGTGGCAAAAAACTTTCAATCTTAAGTGCTTCCAAATAAGACAGTTCATAATTCAGATCTGAGGATGATTAAAAATTTTTACACGTGCTTCTGCTGCACAGAGCATTGTCACTCCTCTAGTATTTATATACATGCAAAAAGCGTACACAAATCTTTAAGGAGCAGAGAAACAGTATTTAAGTACCTTGCATACCATGTAAAGTAACAGGATTTTATTCCTGCATCTAAGAGTGAGACTTTTTCAGCTTCTCTTGGTTTTCTTATATTTCAGTGCCATAATGGATCCTGGAAGCAGAGGAAGAATCCACTGCACCATGAGACTCACCTGCTCTCTCCTACTCATAGCAGTGTTCTGTGTGACACCTGTCCTCTGCCACAGTCAAATTGATCCACTGGCTCTTGGGCGGGCAGACCCGCAGTGCTGGGAATCCTCCTCAGCTGTTTTACTGGAAATGAGGAAGCCTCGCATTTCTGACTCTGTCAGTGGCTTTTGGGACTTCATGATCTTTCTGAAATCCTCAGAGAACTTGAAACATGGGGCTTTGTTCTGGGACCTGGCTCAGCTCTTCTGGGATATCTATGTGGACTGTGTGCTCTCCAGAACCCATGGGCTGGGGAGAAGGCAGCTGTCAGAAGCTGTCAGAAGCCTGAAGACAGCTAGTCTACATTCTCAGTTCACAGGGAGAAACCAAGGTCACTACTCCTTTAATATCCATCTCATGGGCAATAATTAGAGTCTAGTGGGAAAGAAAAGAGATTGAGGCCTATTGTGCTAATAATACAGAAACAGAGGACAATGTTGTGCAAAAACCCCCTACTCCTCCCAGTGAAGTGTAGAGCTGTATTTATGTTCAATGTGATCTCAGTAAAAATTTTACTTCCAAACAACCTGAACTCTAACAACAGCTTTTAAGTTTGATAGGGCAGGAAAAGCAGCAGAAAGTGTAATACAGGAGGATTCAAACAAAGAAGACAGCTCAGCAACTGAATATAGCAATATATGCTTCCACACCAGCATTTTTACCACAGTTGTGCTATGAACAGGCTAGCTCTGAATTCCCCATTCTGAGAGGAATGCATTGCATTGTGCTGTTGGTGAGAGTGGCAGCCTTTTGGCAGAAGGGTAAAGGTGTGTCTACTTGCCATCTAGCAGTCAGTCACTAGCTATTTTTCATTTCTGTACTGGTAACTTTACCCAACACACAATGGAAACAGAACTAGGCCTTAGAGGATGCAGGCTTTCAGGCACAACTACAGCTCCAGGAAGAACATCACTACCTGTGACACTAAGTGTTGCAATTCCTAGACTCCAGGTTCCCAGCCCCCTTCCATATGCATATCAATTACCATCCTCATTCCCAAGTGGGAGACACAATGCAGCTTTTCCTAAACCTCGGTCCCTTCCAAGGCTTCAGTTCTTATCCTGCTACCAACAGATTTATCCTTGCCTGGAGACGATCCACTTTCAGATAGAGGTAGGTGCTATAATTTGATGGAGAGGTAGAAGTGCTCTTTCCATCACCAGCAGTGTAGTGCATGAGCTCACCATAAGAGACAGAACTGCCTTTACATTTCAATGGATTGAGACCCTTATCTCCACTTCCTAGAGCAGTATCTTAGTTATTAAGATGTTTGGGGAGAATGTTTGTGGAACAATGAAGAGCCTCTCTGAGCAAGTACCCATTAATGTGTCTCTAGAAAGTGGACTTGAGCTCAGGGTTCTTGCACCCCAGGGACAATACACTACTGGACCATCCCACTCTTGCCCACAAACCTTAAACATTTTTGAGTATTGAAAGCTAGAATCTGGGATAGGAAGGACTGAGAGGTCCTTACACTATTACCTACAGGCAGTATCCTGAACTTTGAGATAGGAGTTGAGCTTGAATCAGTCCTCTCAGACTGAAAAACTTACACACACAGAGTCAATTTCTAATCTATGAGTCAAACAACCACTACCTGCAATTTAGAAGCAAGGACTGGATCCTATCCTGCTCTGCAAAGAATCTCAGCTCTGACTGGATCTTTACTGTGTTGGCATGCAGCACAGAACCTACTTCTGGTTTCCAAGTGGTCTTAGACATCACACAGGCAACAAGTTGCTCAATCCTTATCAGACTGATGCACTTTTGGGTGCAAACAGAATCCAGCTTTAGACACACACGGCAGTAGTATTGTCAAAAACTGAGATAACCCACCAGGTTAAGGCACCAGATTATTTTTTGTTTGGGGTTGCAGCTTTGAATATCACTGTCTAAACTCCTACTTAGTATTTTGTTACATGTGACTCTAATATCTATACACACTGTGATTTTCCTATACAAAGAGCTTTTGTTCTAGTCAAGATTAAAGAGTAACAGTCTGGTATATTTTGAAGAATCAAATTAAGGGTTTTATGATAAATTCTGACTATTCTTCACTCTTATACAAAGAGATTTTAAGTACTAGTAAGTATTCACACCCTCTTTGTTTTGTGAATTGTAATCAGTTAATCTGGTTTCTCTGTACAGCTGATTAACATCAGTCTGTCGCAGGCAGCTTATAGCAGTGACAGCCAAATTTTTTTTTTAGAGGAGCTATCTAACTTCTCGTCCAAGTCTCACAGTTTCTTAACAAAGCCAGCTGTTTTAATCTTTGTAACCTGTGATCCAACTGCCTTATTTCACCAGTAAAAGTAGAAATCAGTTGGTAATAATTGCAGATAGAAATGGCAAAGCAAATGACCAGGAATAGAATTTGCACTTCTTATGCACAGAGGTATGAGCCTGTTTCCTCAGCCCCATGAGCAGCACTAACAGCACCTAGATTACCTTCTGTCCTTCACATCTACATGAGCAAGTATAAATAGCTTTCAGTAGGCTTGTTCCAGAAATCCAAAAATAAAGCAAGTTTTCTTGTTTTATACTGTTACTTTTGCAACAGTTGATAATTTTATTGCTTCATACCCAAGTTTTTAGTCTTATTCCTCTTAAATAGTTAAAATTTCAATATGTTTGTGGTTTGTTTTGTTGTTTTAACTGCAAACAGGGTCATAAATCAGGAATAAGGAGCAATTCGTAACTTGCATTCTCTGTTGTTCCTTAAACATATTACTGAAATTGGAAAAGCAAGACAGATATCTGAATCTGGCACAGAAATACTGATGTTAAGGTGTTATTATTAGCATTACATTTCAGAACTAATGGATAAATCCTGCTTGTGAAGACTGAGAATCAGGAACTTTTCTAAGGAGAAAAAAAACTACTTTGTCACATCTTAGAGGCACTTTCACAGTTACCCATACTTGGTCCTCCTGGGAAACAACTCTCTTCAAGTGTGCACCAACAAGTAGGAGAAGTAGCCCAGTTGCAGACTTACAGATTCAAACACCATTTTCTGGGCCAGTCTAGTCCCTGCAGGCTTTTGACTGTATTCCCAGTCTGAAGATACTCTTAAACTCTACACAACCCATGAAAAAGACTACAAAATCAGAACAGCTGAATATGAGTAATCTGACAAACTGTCTCAATCAACCTAAAATCATACTTAACCCAGCAGCATTTCAACTTCCCTAGATATTCTGCAGAGAATTCTTAATCAGCTGTAAGTAGAGACAAGTAGGGAGAGTTTTTCAGACATCTGGATGAGCTATCTTTAGTAACTCATCCCTTTTCGCTAAAAACACTATGAAAAAGCAGGTTTCATAAATGCATTTCCAATCTATTACAACACAGTAGTTACATTACAGTTATAACAACTCTAACAAAAATAAAACTTTAGAACCACCAAGAAAACATAGCTTTTGTACTCACAGCAATCTCCCTGAAGAGCAGCTGTACAAGATGATCCTCCTCAAGAAGCCACATCACACATCCTCCCTAGAAACAGCTGAAGAGTCCAGATACAAACACTCTGCCTTTCTTTCCTTTTTTTCTCCTTTCTCTTTTTGCCCAGCAGTCCCACTGCCCCTTACCACTCAGTGGCCTCAGCTGTGCACACCTCCCTCACAGGTGCAGGCGATTAGGCTCAGACCACCCTTTGCACCTGGCCCAAGCGAGACATAATTTCCTGTCCCAACTCTGCCGGGTGGTGGGTGGGGCAAGGGCTATTGTACAATTGAGGTCTGATAAATAAGCAGGTATTGTGTTAATCAGTCACTTTTTCAGAAGACAAATATGTCTAAAAGAAAGAAAACCAACCAGCTGCCTTTTAGAGATCATTGCAAAGAAAACACCCCATAGTTCCTCAAGGAAATAACAAACGTGTTAATAGACAGTGTGAGAGATCTCACCCACTGTGCAGAGAGGTTGATAACAGGCCGGTGGGATAGTAGGATTCTGAGCAGACTTAAGCACTTTGATTCTGCCAATTACAAGTAGAAGAGTTTTAGAGAAAGACTAAAGGAAAAGGTCCATACTGGGAAAAGAAGAAAGTGACTTGACATTGAAAGGCAACATGCAAATGGAGGGATATGGCTATTATCAGTGGGGTAATGCTGATAAAATGAGCAGCAGCAGCAGCTAAAGGCAGAGGAAACATGCATGTGGGAAACTGAGTATTCAGCTGCTCTTTGCTGTTTGGAAATTATTTACTTATATGCATTTTTATGTCACTTTTCAGGGACATTTTCTCATATTCAGAGGCCACCAGTTCTGAAGAAGAAAGACTCATTTGAAGATTTAATAAGTATCCATATACATAAGAGTAGATCTATATTACTTGGAAGAATCATTGGAGAGCTAGGAAAAAAGAGGAAATTACACATTTAGTCTAAAATTTTGATTTGTAGATAATTTTTAACTATTTCTCTTTATTTTTATATTTTAATCCCCATTTATGTCAATTTATGTGGTGGAAGAAGGCATGTAACCTCGGGCACTACATCTCTGATTAACTTGGACTTATGGGTTTTCTTAATTACCCATTAATTTAGTGTCCTTACTAAACTGCATGATTTATAAGCAGTTGTCTACTTTAATCTGTGTGTATATCAGGCTTTTTGTAATACGTGTGATCTGTTCAAACTGTTGTCTTTTGGGTGCCAAAGCAGGAAATAACTGATCCTTCAATAAAACATAGACAAGCAGAGAAGGAAGTTGTCAAAAAACCTCCACTGTCTCCAAGACAGGATTAGACAAGAGATGGTGATATTTGGTTGTATGCAGAGCTGTGCAGTTGTACAGAGCAATCCTTGCTCAGAGACATCATCCTACTGAAGAAAAATGGTACATATTTCTACACGAAAAATACCTTCCAGGAATGTTTTCAGTTTTCCAGTAAAAGGGTTAACAGATTTTACCAGCTCCTCTGTTTTCACACTTAAAATGTTTAATCACAAAAATTCCCATACATAACTTGTATTTGCTTCTTTTTTAGTTTACAACTTCTTTGTAGAAAAATCAGCTTCTTCTGAGTCTTACTGATAACCCTAGCAGGCAATTTGACATTAAACTAATGCAAAACAACTTATGGCAGGTAACATTTGATTGCTTTTATGGTATAAATTATTTCCATTGCCAGACTGGAGGATGAAACCATGAATTTCTTCTTTCCAGGGCTATTACATTTAGTTGTTCATTCAGTTTCTTTCCTTGAGCATGTAGCAATATTTGGTGGCTTTTTTTTTTTTACTTTTTCCCACATGCCCACAGAAAAATGGGCTTCCTGGTTGTTCACCAACTTGCAGAAGTTGGTTCAAGTCACAAAATGTGTAAAGAAATCTTGAAATGGTTACTGGCACAAACAAAATAAGGCCTAATCACCGTCCTATTGCGGGAAATCCTGACTTAAGGAAGCAAATAAAAAACTGTATGAGGGCAGCTTCAATATATCATTATAATATATCCAAAAGCCTTATTTTTGTAACTTTGTATCAATATAAGAGAGTCTTCACTCACAGTCCCTAGGGCTACCAAAACCAGCACCTGTCAAAGAGTGTGAAGGGCTGGATGCCTCAGCCCAGGAGGATTAGTATTGGAGTAGAGCAGATGTTACCTGTTCCCATACACGCCCAAGCTCCAGCAAATGTGAAACCAGATTATCTGAACAGGTCCTGTTTAACTGAGAAGCATTTCCACAGGGCCCTTTGGGCAGCTGTTAGTGCTTCCACTTTAGATAGGTCCCACCTATCATCAACAGAATCCCTTAGGAAATGGCTCATGGCAGCTTTCTTCCTCCCTTCAGACAGAAATACCACTATGGGCCAAGACAGTATTTAGTTTAAATGACTTCACAATACTTCTCTGCTTCAGTAAGCTTCTTAATTAATAGGCTGTAACAAAATTCAGCCTTTGAGGCAATGGGCAGGAAAGGATGCAGAGGCAAGACTGACAAAACAGATCAATCTCTAGGACAGGTCACACTATGGAGAACATTTGGAAATTGTTAATGTAAAGAGGCAATCTGTGTTATTAATAGTTCTGAAATTAAAAAAAGGGGATGCAACTAACTACAGGTAAACCTGCAAATGATAGAATGCAAGTGATAAAAGAGTGTCTATATTAAAAAAAAAAAAAAGAAAAGGAAGGGCTCTCAGTTTGAGATTAAAGTAGATCCGCTATACAGGAACATTTAAAAATGTCACTGTGTTTTAAGACAGGATATTGCCTCCTACCACTGTTCCTTATCAAATTCATGGCAGTGAACTAGGATTGTTTCTGCAGATACTGTTCCTGGCTTACTGTTTCTCAGTCAGAGTGTGTCAGATGAAGGATGGGATGAACATGTCTGACCGTAATTCCCTCACTGTCAGCTGAACTGAATAACAACAAAATAAAGACCTTGTGATTTTGTCCCTTTCATTTTACAGGGATCTGTGAGCTAAACAACTCCTTCTTAGCATGGAAAACAATTCTTTAATCTTTACATAATGACATGAAAAAACAATTCATGGTAGTTCAGGAATATCTGTTTGTAAGAATTTGTGCTCCAGGTCTGTTCAATGTTGCTTCAGACCAAACCAGCATTTGTCAGTTGCTACCCTTTCCAACCAAGTTTAATTCAGATGCCCACACTAGAAGGAGATTTAATCTCATACTCATACTCATCAGAAGCTGATGAGTATCTTCCCAGATTCAACAATTAGGTTCCTTGGATTGTTGTGTGTGTCTCTTGGCACTGGCGTATTGCAAAAGCTTACTACTAAGCTTCTACCTCACAGTATATTTATTTATGTTATGATATGGGTATATCCACTTTCTAATTACCTCATCACTATTTGTTTTCTGGGGCCCTCCCTCTTCCCTCAATCAGTTTCTTTTTTAAAAATTTTCACCCTCTTTACACTTCCTTTACTGCAAACAAACCACTTGTTAGCTTCCAGCAGCATACCATTATTTCTTGCTATGAATTCTCCAGTGTTTGCAGTACGTGTAATTCAGGCCTCCTTTGACCAAAACTAGCAGAAAGTCTGAGGAAAGTTCATTAATCTCACTGCCACAGTGTACAGTCTTTCAAGAAGATGGTTGAGGTGCTACCAACAGAAAATAAGATTTTTAGCCTCTTTAATGAGTCAGGCAGTCCCTTTATCTTGATGATTATAACTCATTCTGAAAAATACAACACAAGGAAAATCTATGTGGAAAATCTGTGTGGAGTTCTGCTAAGCAGCTTTTCTTAAGCCCTATGTTTTTCATTAGCCTTTTCAATCACATCAGCCTAAACACTGTTTGATTAGATACAAAACAAAGCTTCAGAAAATTTACCTAACTTTTCTCCCAGAACTTCCAAAAATATTTTGTTTTCACCCAAATGAAATTTATTTTCATTGTAATCACAGAAAAAATCCTGTAAAAACTCAGATTGTTTTCTTTCTTGGAAAGCTGGTATCATTTCAGGGACGTAATAAAAATCCTTAATAGTATGCACATTTTCTTGAACCATGGTTTTGAGCATATATGAACACAGTTATTTACTATTTTCACGCACCTTCTGCCAAAGAATGACAGTAAATTACTGACTGTACGTTTTTTTTCTCTCTGAAGTGGTATTGAATAATTTCAATTTCTCAGGTCTTTAAAATCCATCTGTACATTACAGGAAAAAGCGTTTTCCTTGTTGCTGACATCAACAAGAAATACAGCACCGTTCCAAGGAAGTAACTCGGCCATGGGATATCAGCAGCTAAAGAGAGAGAGAGAAATGGGCAATCGTTTGCACTGCCGAGGAAGTCACAGCATGGGAGCTGGAAATCACCAACAGAAAAGGAATATAGCTCTCCACAATGTTCCAGGTGAAGTCAGTAAATGCAGAAACCTGTCATGCTGTGTTATTACAGGCAACATCTGAAACACTTTAAAGAGTCTCTTTTAAGAGACATGGCATCAATTACCTTAAGTAGTTCAGTGAAGTTGTAAGGTGAATGGTAGTTTCCATCATTTACAAGCTGGTGAAATTACTTGGTTGATGAGGTCAGAAAAGGACCTGCAAACATGCTCAGCTGTAGAGAAGAACTCCTGGTGCAAAGCAGTTTGTTGGGCTGAAAAGCAGAATAAATTTTAAGTCCTTCCAAGCTTTTGGATGCTGCCAGAGCACTAGAAAACTCTTAATGAATCTCTAAAATAACTCTTTAGAAGCACCATCTTTTTCTGTCATATTCCATATTACATTCTCATTATCAAAAATGAGGTATCCTGAATGTTGAACAAAGCTCTGCTGTGTAAAATCTTTGATTACAAAGGGATTTTGTATTGCTGGAAGTCTCCTATGACACTGTAACTATAACTCTAGTCCTAGAAGTGGCAAGAGCAAAAACCTCTCATGCCCTCACCAGTTTAACTTTGCTCCTTAATTGACTACCAAGACTCATTATCTCTTTGGAGCTTTGAGTCATTCAGTTCCAAATCAGTCCAACATTAGGGGCTATATTTGGAATATGCTCTACTTATATTATCCTACTATATGGAATAATACTACAAAAGCTAAAGCAAGATTCTGAGTTTCCTCTGAGGGTTACATGATTATGAACAATATTATGGAATAAACAGGATGAAGGTAAGAAGACAGTGACAAGATGACTGGAGAACTTATACCTGGTTGGGTTTGGAGAGACAATGTATCCTTCAGTTTCATCATTAGCAATTCCAATTCCTCTCTGACTTCCTTCTCATCAGGTGGTATCTGCATTGCAGTGGGAATAAGAACTGTATTCCCCATGCCACCAAGAGAGTTTTCTGTCAGTTTAGGCAGATATGTTTGTTTCTCTTTTGCTTGTTTATGCTGTCCCATAAAGGTTTTGTCACTCTGCAGGGACACTGACTCCAGTGGGTCATCTGAGAACATAAAGTCCACTGCAGTGGGAACCTCAGGTGTCTGTAAAAGCTGCATTCTATTTACAGAGTTTGGGGGATTCAAAGATTTCCATTCTGCACATGTTCTAGAAATAGGCCTTATCTGGGCAGGATTTAATTCACTCTGCATTCTCCTTTCCAGCAGAACATGTGGATTTCTTGCCATTGTATTATGACACTGTGCGAAAGGTTGCTCTGATGACTGCAACATGGTCTACAAAAGAAAAAATACAGAAAATAAATTGTAAAAATAATTGGTATTTGAGTTTGCCAGTAGTACTAAACCAATATTGCAGAAAATGCTACAAAAAAGCTGTAGGGGGAAAATATGTAAATATTTTCTGTGAAACAAGGGCCTTTTAAGAATCTCAGAAATAATTGTAATGATAAGAATCACTATAATTGAAAACAAATAAAATATTTTCTATAAGATGTCTGTATTACATCCCAGTAAAAGAAAGCAATTAGGAACAACATTATATTTATTCAATGCCAGCACTTTGACTCTTCTCTGAAGAACAGACTGCACTGAAGTATCTAACACTTCTGTTGGAAACTCTTATTGGAATAATCATTATTTTCATTGCAGTAGTATTTAAATATGCTAACATGGATATCTCTGCTAGATGCCGGATATGCACAGAATAACAAGAAAATACCTACTACAAAGACCTTATCTGCTTTCTCTGAAGAGAAGAACCTAAGATGACTGAAAATACAATTAGAAAGTGCATGAAATGGTATTAAGAGTGCTGGTCTACAGGAAAAGTAGTTCTTAGTGTTCAGTAATGGCTCATAGCTGTGACAATTCTTTATATATATATATATATATATATATATATCACTACACCTTTACTTCTTCCTTCATGTGCTGCAGCATCATTTGCAGGTTTTCATGGCTTACGCTCAGTCTTTGCAGTTTTGCCTCTATTTTGCAGCTTTTTTCTTCCTGGCAGTTATGAAGAAATTGCATTTTGTCCTTCCATTTGTTGAACTGCTTTTTCATGTACCTGCCAGAGATACAGGAGGGTGGGATTTTTGATAGACCAGACATACACAAATATATGCATTCATGGAAACGAGCAAACACTGTAGCACAAACTTTATCCCCTTTACTAGTTAGGAAATTTTTGTCAGCTTTGGGATTAGAGGCCAATATTTCAGAAGTTGGACTGTATCCATGGAATTAGCAAGGACATGAGTATTCCAGGTGCGGAAATATGAGAGTAGAACTGAGTAGAACTGTAGCCAAGACTGTACCTTGCATCTTGGGGTTTTGCCTTTCCCACAAAGGTGACTGCAACAAAAGAGACAATAGCAGTCTCTCTGTATAGGAGCAAACTGCTTATAGCAACTCCCTGACCTGCAAAAGATTCCCATTACATGTCTGGGCAACAATGAAGTAAAAGTAGGTTCTGCCTCTTTGATAGAATTTCTTCTTGCTCGTGGTATTCTCTGCAGTTTCTTTAATGATACCAATAGCTTCTGCACAGGCCACTTGTCCTTGAAAAAGCACTCTGATTTTTGCAATCAGAAGTGCCACCCTCCCATGTACAACAGAGATTTAGAAATTACCTAAGAGTAATTTCTAAAGAGTGTGTCAGAGCACAGTATGACAGAAATAACACCCATAATTCTGTTCTAGTGATTTCTCTAAGAAGTCAGGGTAGAAATAGTTTTGCTTTCCTCACAGCTGAGGTGCAGACAGTAAAGTTTGTTAACACTACAGTAATAAACCAACTGCTTCATATCACATATCTGAAATAGTTATCTGCCATGCTTAGTTACATTCAGAAGTTCACCTGATTCACTTCCTTGTGGTAATGCTTTGACTTAGAGACAACAGCCCCATTAGTTTCACTTGAACTATGCAAGATTTGTCTGAATGGGACAGCAAGTCAGACCATTTAAAATTAAAATTAATACTACAGTGGTCCCTTACAACAACGTTTAAGGGCTCCTCACTGTAAAATGCTGTCCTCCTTCAACTAACTCAGAGTCCAGTTCTGAGAACAAACAGGTGAATGCTGGAAGTCAGTCCACAAACAAGAATAAAGAGCTTCCCATGAGTAATGTGATTCATTCACCCAGGTCCATGATAAGCTCTGGGTCAGAGCAGCATTATAGGAGCAGGCATCCCAAATATCCTGTCAACGCTTGCTAATCTAAAAGAAAGCTGAAGATCTTTGCCATATCTCTTTATTTTCCCAAGTGAGAACAGACTCACAATGAAACTGAAATGTTAACTCTGATCTTGGAGTGCTATTTTGTGAACTTGGAGCAGCAATTGTACTTGCAATGAAAGAGAACAGGAACAGAGAGAACTGAACATACTGAAGAAAATAAAGAGAGTAGATTCAGGATTGAATTCTACACTTCACTGTAATTCCATCATTTTCAGTGGTCATAGGCATGGTTATAGAGAGCACATTTATATACAGCTACAAAAATGAAGGGGGGGAAGGCAAAAATGCAAGTAAAAGGTAAGCATCATAGCTCACACACCAACTTCTCCCCTGCCATGTCACCCAAGCAAACAAGCCTCCCAAGAGATTTTTAATTTAGGAATTAATATTTTACAGTGTCAAAGATTTGACTATCAGAAGGAACTTCTGTGATTAACTGTTATACCAATAGTTATTGTATTCATCCTATTAATCTCTGTTTGATGTACAGCATATTTTTTAGAAATAAATTCTACTTTGATTTAAAAGCTTCATGCAAATTATGAAATTTCTTTTGATTAAGCCTTTTTCAGAGAAAAATTTGAAAAAGTATGCAATTCTGACATTGTTATGTGGATGAATGTCTTTTTGTCTAAAAATTCCTTTTAGAAATGAAAACTAGCATTTGCAGAAATGCCGATGAAAGCAAAACAAAATATGTTTTGCTTTGCCATTGTTTTTCTAGTGATCTTCACATAAAATTTTTGTTGCGGAGTTTTTATTATTCATCCTCATTTGATAGGATTTTTTACAATCTCAAAATCTCCAAAGTATGGAAAAATCATCTGTCTTCTAGCCCTCCAGCTGGAGCAGCAATGCCCGCCAGTCTTCAGTGAGTTTACGACTGCATTTACCTACCTGCTGTCACTGTGAATGCTTTTAATGGATTCATGCATTTTTAACACATCTGCTTCAAAAGAGGCTATTGCCTAAAACAAAAAGAAGTATCTGTTCATAACTTTATCAGCAATAGCATTTCATTTTTATACACAATTTTTATTATAGGAGTGCATGGCAAATTTTGGATCTGGTGGATCTACAGATGTACTAGTTAACCTTTTTAGTTTAATGTATTACAATCAACTGATGCATTACAGTATTTCTAATGGCTGGAAATTTTATTTAGAACAAATTCTTTGTTCTATGACAAATTTAAGTGTATGAGAATTTGTTTGAAATTAGAACAAAATCCAAATTCCCAATTTCTGCAAAATGGAATATTCTTATTTGGGAACAATCTCTCTCAAGTCCCACAGCTGCTTTGAGACAAGGAGATGTTGAGAGAGACTGTATGTAGAAGAGAGAAGAGAAACTCTTGGTCTTTAAATGGAAGTAGCATTCTCTGGAGCATGCAGAGAACAGTAGCCCAGAAGTCAGGGAGACAAACACTTTCCAGCTAAGTTACTTTTGAGGCATGATATAAGTTGGGCAGGAATCAGAGCTGCCAGGAAATTATGAGACTAAGAGCTGGATGACCCAAGACCTCCATACTCATAGATTCTATTAAAAGCGATCATTGGACTTACTGTCCACATCTTTTCAATCAAAGTGGAAATAATCTGCACTATAAGATCTTAGAAATCAGTATAAAACTGCTCAAAAGAAATTCTCAGCCACGAAAGAAAATAAACAAAGAGCAATGCACCTGACAGAATCCCAGCACAGGGATGCAAGTCCTGTCCTGCTGTTTTCTAAAATGACAAATGCCAATTGTCAAAATTCTATGTTTAAGCAATGTCTGCCCACGACATCTCGTGCAGATATGTGCTGGCTAGCACTGTACCTTGAGCTGGGCAGCAGAG